TGTCCCTTTACAATTATTAATTAATTATTAAACTATAATTATTCCTTTTTTGTTTGCATTTTGCTCCAATAGGAACTTAATAATTAAATAGGGTTGTATACCAAATTTCATGACTGCACAAATATATCGTATATATTTTAGCACATTAGTTGACCACATGTAAAAAAAATTTATAGTAATGTGCTCTATTAATTTTTGGGGGGGAGGAAAGTGATCTTTAAAGGACCAGTTTGGGCAGCACAACAACTTCATCAAAGATAAATTTTTTATGGTGCCCGGAGGTTCCTAGCGCTGGCTGATCTTAAACGGTACCATAACAATGACAACAAAATTAAGCTGTTATGGTTCCTGGCGTTGGCTCGCCTTATGTGGTTTAACCGTTCTTGAACAGCTTAACCCAAAAATTTGTGTTCCAGAGCCAAATCTCTCTGTCTCAAATTCTTTAAACCGGAAGGCTGTTGCAGAATCGCGCAGTGGCACCGCTGATTGGCAGAGAGTGGTCAGCTCACATGTCTTATTATTATTATTAATAAGTCATTTGTAGTTCATCTATTTGCTTTCTACTGTTGTACACTGACATTACATCTCCAGAAAAATTTGCAAATAAAACAAAGCAGATTGGTATAAATTTGAAATAAGCAAAGATATATAAACTACAAAAGAAAACAGAACAGCAAAAAAATGAATATAAAGAGCTTTATATGGCCAAAACCACAGTGCCATCTAGTAAACTGCTAGTGGCATTGCAGCTTCTATGGTTTCCTACAGAACAGTTTTGCTCCTGTCCGCAATCTCTTTTTTCAGGAAAAGCAGCAGAAATACACCAACTAGTAAATAGGATTTTGGTCAGAAAAAAACAATACATTGGACTTAATAGACTAAACATATTATTTATTAAAGTGAAAATTCAAAGTGAATTTCAAACATTTCCCAGATTGGCTATTTTCACTTTAAATTTGAAATTCACTTAAATTCACTATGAATTCTCAATAGAGTAAATAAACCTGATAGCCGTTTACATAAATACTCCAAGCACCAGTCAAATTCTCCACATTCGGTCTTCTCCTGCAGTAGAATCTGGATTAGAGCAAAGAAGAACCGCGTTGGATTACGCACATTGGCTAAGAGGCTCACCAGAACGCTCTCAGCCAATCAGCATGGTCCTATATTGTTGTGGTTATTCTATAGAAAAATCCAGCTTCTTCTGCCATAAAGGACCACATGCAGCAGAGATGCCTGGACCCAGATAAGTTGTCAAACTTACTAAAATGGATTGATTACTTACTGTGGGATGGCGCAAGGGTACTCCAGGCATCATAACCACTATTATTATTATTATTGCCATTTATATAGCGCCAACAGATTCCGTAGCGCTTTACAATATTATGAGAGGGGGATTTAACTATAAATAGGACAATTACAAAAAACTTACGGAAACAATGGGTTGAAGAGGATCCTGCTCAATCGAGCTTACATTCTATAGAACTACAATGGACTGCAGTGGTTATGGTGATTGGAGTGTTCCTTTAACCATTTCACAGTAAAAAAAATACTGAATTCTATTTGGAATTCATTGATCCTACCAACACAGTGACCTTGATGTGCCCAAGGGCACACTATGTCTAACAGGTGATGAAAACTGTTACCAACTTAATTATATAGTCAAACCATTCTAGCCATTGCGTATAAAATTAAGATGCAACTGATAAAAAATAACCATTTCAAATGAAATTAAATTAAACACTACTCCATAAATAAAGAACAACCAATAACAAGACAGTACAAATGTGCCATGTAGAAACTAAAGTATGGGGCAAAAGAGCAAATTGTCTTTATATCTCTGCTTTCAATCAGTGTTGTACCTTGACATAACATGCTTAACTTGTTATGACAATAGTTTTGTTAGTTTTTTTTGCAATTATTTTTTTGTTTTTACATAAAATGAAATGGATCATGAATTTCAATCCATGAACACAAAGGAAAGGAATCAAAATACTAATCTTCATAGTATACTGTCAAAGATGTTGTACTCCATATGAATGAATGACTGAACGAATGATTGAACGAACTGTTTTACTTATTTAATTTAGAGATGTATTAGATGTTGCACAAAACTACTGGGTTGGAACTATTCACTGCCCCCTCTATTTATTTTATTCTAAGTCAGATATGAAACTGTGCAGACATGAAACAAGTCTCGTTTATATTAAAATATAACAGAGACTATTTAAGGGATAATTATCATCAAATTCCATTATTACTGGAAATAAAAATAATTCCTAACATAGTTATGTTGTTGTGCATTATTTTGTAATGAGTAAATGAAAATATATTTAAAAGAAGAAAAACTACCACAACAAGAGGACATAGTCTTAAATTAGAGGGACAAACGTTTCAAAATAATATCAGGAAGTATTACTTTACTGAGAGGTTAGTGGATGCATGGAATAACCTTCCAACTGAAGAGGTAAAGGTTAACCCAGTAAAGGAGTTTAAGCATGCGTGGGATAGGCATAAGGCTATCCTAACTATAAGATAAGGCCAGGGACTAATGAAAGTATTTAGAAAATTGGGCAGACTAGATGGGCCGAATGGTTCTTATCTGTTGTCACATTCTATGTTTCTAAAATTAAAAAAAAAATGTATTGCATCACCTGTTCTATTTGGGTAACCGTTCTAATTTCCTGATAATACTAGTCACTATTTAAAACCAATCCTGAGTGTATTTTTGTGATGCGTAAATTAGTTCACGATTACCTACATGGGACTTGGTTGGACAAACAATTATTCCAACCAAATACGATTGTTCGTGTGAAACAAGTGCTAGCCAGGAGGTGTACTAAAAATAATCACTTATTTATATGTATGCATCACAAAATGATAAAAACACAGAGAAAATATCATACATTTAATCTTTTATTTTGAATAACAGAAGAATTATGGCAATGCTTCTTTAATTGCTCAGATTCCAGACTTGTTCTAGAGCTGTTCTAGAGCTGGCCCATTTTTATTTCGATTCATTGCATTCTATATATAGTATCAGTGTGCGGTAATGTGATGATTGTATTAAAAATAGCTGTTGTCATAATTCAACGCATCACAACTTTTAACAATATAGCCCAGCAAAATAAACAGCAGGGGATTTGCAAATATTGCTTGTTTCAATGAAATCAAAAGACATGACAAAACAGTAACTATTGAATTAACTTTTTCTTCCTTTTAATCTGTTAAGACAAAATTCTATGTTTCCATTTCCCATTCACAATACAGGGAGTGCAGAATTATTAGGCAAATGAGTATTTTGACCACATCATCCTCTTTATGCATGTTGTCTTACTCCAAGCTGTATAGGCTCGAAAGCCTACTACCAATTAAGCATATTAGGTGATGTGCATCTCTGTAATGAGAAGGGGTGTGGTCTAATGACATCAACACCCTATATCAGGTGTGCATAATTATTAGGCAACTTCCTTTCCTTTGGCAAAATGGGTCAAAAGAAGGACTTGACAGGCTCAGAAAAGTCAAAAATAGTGAGATATCTTGCAGAGGGATGCAGCACTCTTAAAATTGCAAAGCTTCTGAAGCGTGATCATCGAACAATCAAGCGTTTCATTCAAAATAGTCAACAGGGTCGCAAGAAGCGTGTGGAAAAACCAAGGCGCAAAATAACTGCCCATGAACTGAGAAAAGTCAAGCGTGCAGCTGCCACGATGCCACTTGCCACCAGTTTGGCCATATTTCAGAGCTGCAACATCACTGGAGTGCCCAAAAGCACAAGGTGTGCAATACTCAGAGACATGGCCAAGGTAAGAAAGGCTGAAAGACGACCACCACTGAACAAGACACACAAGCTGAAACGTCAAGACTGGGCCAAGAAATATCTCAAGACTGATTTTTCTAAGGTTTTATGGACTGATGAAATGAGAGTGAGTCTTGATGGGCCAGATGGATGGGCCCGTGGCTGGATTGGTAAAGGGCAGAGAGCTCCAGTCCGACTCAGACGCCAGCAAGGTGGAGGTGGAGTACTGGTTTGGGCTGGTATCATCAAAGATGAGCTTGTGGGGCCTTTTCGGGTTGAGGATGGAGTCAAGCTCAACTCCCAGTCCTACTGCCAGTTCCTGGAAGACACCTTCTTCAAGCAGTGGTACAGGAAGAAGTCTGCATCCTTCAAGAAAAACATGATTTTCATGCAGGACAATGCTCCATCACACGCGTCCAAGTACTCCACAGCGTGGCTGGCAAGAAAGGGTATAAAAGAAGAAAATCTAATGACATGGCCTCCTTGTTCACCTGATCTGAACCCCATTGAGAACCTGTGGTCCATCATCAAATGTGAGATTTACAAGGAGGGAAAACAGTACACCTCTCTGAACAGTGTCTGGGAGGCTGTGGTTGCTGCTGCACGCAATGTTGATGGTGAACAGATCAAAACACTGACAGAATCCATGGATGGCAGGCTTTTGAGTGTCCTTGCAAAGAAAGGTGGCTATATTGGTCACTGATTTGTTTTTGTTTTGTTTTTGAATGTCAGAAATGTATATTTGTGAATGTTGAGATGTTATATTGGTTTCACTGGTAATAATAAATAATTGAAATGGGTATATATTTGTTTTTTGTTAAGTTGCCTAATAATTATGCACAGTAATAGTCACCTGCACACACAGATATCCCCCTAACATAGCTATAACTAAAAACAAACTAAAAAACTACTTCCAAAAATATTCAGCTTTGATATTAATGAGTTTTTTGGGTTCATTGAGAACATGGTTGTTGTTCAATAATAAAATTAATCCTCAAAAATACAACTTGCCTAATAATTCTGCACTCCCTGTAAGTGGGTACCCTTTTGTGCAAAATCAGCATACTGCCATGTAGAACACAAAGATATAATCTAGCACAGCTCAGGCATAATGGAAAGTAGCAATGTCAGTTCTGTTTGTCATGCTATCAGTAAAAATTTGTGGGAGGTGGATAGAAATAAGGATGACAGGGCATATCTACATGAGGCGTAACTTGGCTAATTCTCCTTTAAAATCAGGGAGGGGTATTTCTTTCTCACAGCCTTGTACTTCTTCTATCTGAAGCCTGAGCTACTCATCCCTCTAACAGCCGCCATGGTTCACTGGACAGCCGAAGAGAAAGCCACCATCGCCTCCGTATGGCAGAAAGTTGACTTGGAAAATGACGGCCACAATGTCCTTTCCAGGTAAAGATATATGATGTCTTATGACACTGCTCGCAGGCCAGGGGTAAAAGATACATACCAACCATAAGATAATGAAAATATTTAAAAGAAGAAAAACTACCACAACAAGAGGACAGTCTTAACTAAGAGGGGCAAAGGTTTCAAAATAATATCAGGAAGTATTACTTCACTGAGAGGGTAGTGGATGCATGGAATAGCCTTCCAGCTGAAGTGGTAGAGGTTAACACAGTGAAGGAGTTTAAGCATGCGTGGGATAGGCATAAGCTATAGCTGTAAGATAAGGCCAGAGACTAATGAAAGTATTTAGAAAATTGGACAGACTAGATGGGCCGAATGGTTCTATGTTTCTATGCTTCTAATTTCCTCTTTCTGTCCTTCATCGTTATCTCAAGCTCTTCATCCCTTTGACAGTGTGTCTCTTTCATCCTTCTCTCTCTTTCATTCTGACTTACCTTCACCAGTGTCCTCTGCCTGCTTATTTTATCTTTTCTGGCTATACTCCTGCTCTGTTCTCTCTCTGGAGATTTGTAAACATCCCTATTAAAGCCATGTTCCATTCATAATGTTATAGATAAAAAGCAAAACCAAAGACAGTGTTTGAATTGAAATTTTGCCGATGTATTGTTAAAAATCACGTGTCCTCTGGTTCCATTCCGATAACTAGGCCCTGCAGAACAAATGCTGGCTTTTCAGATGTTCCACATGAGTTTGTCTGTCTGTTTGTCAGTATTGATTTTAGTCTGAAAAAAAGAATTATAGGGACTCAAAAGGGATTTGTAAAATATAGACTGAAATTGTAGAGATGGGAAAATAACTGGGTTGAAGATTATTTCCCAATGACTTAATTAAATCATCAGTTCCTGTTTAGTGAATAAAGACTTATAAACGCCTTTATATATTGAGGACATACTTTTAAACACAGTTAAAATTGCAATTACCCTTTGTGCATTTGAAAATAATAACAGTTAATAAAAAAAAAAACATATATTTAACCCCTTAAGGACACATGACATGTGTGACATGTCATGATTCCCTTTTATTCCAGAAGTTTGGTCCTTAAGGGGTTAAACCGCTTGAATAACCATGCATTAATATTTCTGCACACTCTTTAATAATAATATATACAATTATAATACATTTTTTCATGTCATGATGAAAGAAGTACACTTAAAACATTGTGTTAGCACACTGGTGAGGAATGTATAGATCTCAAAATCTTTTAACCCCTTAAGGACACAACTTCTGGAATAAAAAGGAACCATGATGGAATATTTCCATCATGTGTCCTTAAGGGGTTAATGTAAAACTTTATAGCATCTGGTTAGTGCTGTTCCATAAAGTACCATAGGGTTACACACTCCATAAAACGTTCTGTAATCGTGAATTGTGATGCACATAGTTTTATAATCAGTTTAGGTAGTGTTCACAAACAGGGTTATTCACTACTGTGTGAAATATCTAGAAATCATTGTGAATTCAGGTTTGAAATGTTTGGCCAAAATAGCAAAAATTGTAAACATAACTGGCTTGGAGAATTTTCTAGGGATTTACCCTTTGATTTTTGATTTTTTTTTACCTCTAGTACTCTAACCAGTTTTAAAAGCACAACAGGGCACTCAGACTCACCCACGACAACACATAAACAAAATGCTGTGTTGTAACAATAAAATGTTTTGCTCTCTCTCTTCAGGTTGTTCATTACATACCCCTGGACCAAGAGGTATTTCAGTTCTTTTGGGAATATTTCCAACGAAACAGCTATTGCTGGAAATTCCAAAGTACATGCTCACGGCAAGAAGATTCTAGGAGCTCTCGATAATGCAGCCCACCACTTGGATGATATTAAGAACCTTCTCCATGACCTCAGTCACACACATGCCAGCGAACTACATGTGGACCCAGAAAACTTTAAGGTATTGTATAATCATTAATATTGTAATAACTATTATTTAGTGTTAATCTACCTATCTACCTGTCTGTCCTTCTGTCTATTCTATCTCAGGCGTGGATCTTAGAGCCATCCTAGCTTTCAATCCCATGTCCTTTTCTTATGTTCTCCACTCTCTTTCGATCTTGCGTCTCAGTTTGTTTGCCGTTTACCAGATATTATTTTGATTTCATCTTTCTCTCCTTCTCCCAGTACTTCATTAATATTCTCTATCCCATCGTGATAGTTATTTACGATGATATCTGTCCTATATACGCCAGATCAATAAAACTCTACCTCCTTCACTGGAAGCTGCCTAATTTTGCCACTAAAGTTCTTGATATTTGCTGATATAAGCATCAGATGTCACCTCAGACATTTCTAGTACTACTCATGGCACCCAGGATCAGAGTAGCCAGAATAGGCAGTTGCCTAGAGGTGATTGTTCACTAGGAATTCCTGCCTTGAGTACAAATTTACATTTAAAAAAAATACATTTGGTAAACTTGTTTTTTCCTACTTGGCAATTGTGCTTTATATCTCTGAGATGTGCGCTCTGATTCTCCAAATCGTGGAGAAAGCAACAGAGAAATGGGAGGAAACAGGGGGCACCTGAGAATTTGGCACCTGCGAGCACTTGAGATATAACGTTTGCCCTAGTGGCACCCATGCCATAGATTGACTATCAGTGCCCTCGTTTTCCATTAATGTACGATATAGTTTATTGTAGATATTGAAGTTACAAAGAATATAAATCTTATTTATTTTTTTAAATCATTGTTTGCTTCTGTTTACAGCGTCTCGGTGAAGTGTTTGTGATCGTTTTGGCTTCTAAACTAGGACCTGCTTTCACTCCTTCAGCCCATGCAGCTGTGCAGAAATTCATTGCAGTGGTAGTGGATGCTCTGGGTCACGGTTACCACTAAACTCATTGTACCCATATCTGGAAACAGAGGTGTACCTAGGTTACATGGCACCTGGGGAGGAAATGTATTTTGATCCCCCTACTCTCCATTAGTACGCTTCTACCTAGGAATGTGTATATTCAATGTAACATTTCAAATAAAATATATTTGTAAAGAAAACAGCTATGTATTCATTTGTTTCTTATCAAAACCCCTTATACTTTGAACATTAACATGTAGTGAGTTAACAATTTATGTAAAAACAAAAACATAAAATTAAGACTTTTTCTTAATTCTACAACTATATTTTTCTCAAAATGAAAAGTGCGTTACCGAATCACCTGTTTATGTACTAATTGTGTATGGATATTACTGGCTATGCAATAATCTGAGAATACACATTACTATAGTTTGGAGACGTTTTGATGTTAAAGTTATTTTTGGCAGAGCAATTTTTACCCAAATCATGCTCTTATAATGCTTGATTATCAAGCTCTTTGTAGCTAGCTCTAATAAAATGAGACCCATGGAAGGTAAATTTAAACAAGTCAATATCTATATGTTTTTTTATTTATGCAAAAATGTGTTTATTCAATAAATAGGGAATTGCATTAGGAAAGCATTATTCTCTACCTGTTGTAATTTTCCAGTAAAGGTTACAGCCTGCCATACTTTCTATGCATAATACAGATTAAGGAACAGTGCACACATACAAATACAATTTTAAAATGTATTTTTTTCTTTCTTCATAAAAAATGCATGCTGCAGGTGTGCCCCAATTCCCTTTTTGTCCACACTGTCTAGATAAACAGAATGCTACATAAATTATGAGCAACATTTGTGCCCTAAAACACGTGAGTTGATCCTGACTTTTAACCTGAGTACAATATCACCAGCTTTAGTTTGCATATAATAAATACACACAGAAAACAGTGTGCCTTGTATGTTTGCCCTTTTTAACCCCTTAAGGACCAAACTTCTGGAATAAAAGGGAATCATGACATGTCACACATGTCATGTGTCCTTAAGGGGTTAAACAATACAGCTCAGTCACTTTTCTTTATAAAATAATTTGTATTAACATTTTTACATTATGATAGTAATACCAATATTATTGAAAAAAAATAACTAATTATAATAAGGGGTAATAAGATAGAATTTATCATAGCATCAAACCAAAATATTTTATTGTTATAGTGTATTTCTATGAATTACCAATACAAAATGAAATTTAAAAAAACATGAACGAAGAAAGAAAAGGAAAATAAGAAAAAGTAATTTTCGGTCAGATGTAATATTATATTATAAGTGATGTTCTTGTCCGATATTGTCCTCCCATTTTGACCATTCATGTTTTAATAAATCAGGTTTTTTAGTTGAATTAGGAAATATCAATTTACATATCTAATACATAATTTCACATTTATTTTTCATTAGGGATAATATTAGACTTTCAATAACGTGGGATAGTAGATATGGCTGCAATTCGTAGGTGACCAAGCATAAGTTTCTTAGCAGTTGTTATGTTGGTGGGGAATTTTTTTAATAAACAAATCACAGGTGAAAGGGTTTCAGTCATGTTTGTAATGGTATTGCTTAATTTATGTATACAATCCCAGAAAGATCAAATTTTAGGGCTATTCCAAAAGATATTTTTATATTTATATAGCGACAGCAAATTCCGTAGCGCTATATGTGCTCAGTCACTTTTTATACAGAATGTTTATATTCATATTTTTAATAAACCAGTTATTTCATTTTTCCCTTTATCAATCGACTTCTTAAATACATTTTATTCCAAATAAATACAAAAAGAGCAATGCCACTGAAGAAAAAAAAAAATATGTTGTAAATTTTACCATGAATGTAAATAATGTGTGGGCAACATGCAAATGTAAAGCACTTTTAGAAGAATACATGCATTGTATTAAACAAATGTAAACGTAATCCTAACAGGAGACATTCATTATTGAGCCATAATGCATTAAGTTAGAAATATGGTGAGTATGTGAAGATATTGCTAAACCTGTCTCTCAGAAGGAGTTTAAATGGATTTTCAATATTCCTTTCACACACTCACCATGGGATTCAAAGTAGAAGATAAATAGGGATTTTTAGCATTCAAATTATGTGGAAAAAAAGTTATACATTTATACAAAGGTGCATACTAGCAAAAAGATTAAGCACTGGGATTATAGACCTTTACATCTATTTCGAATATTACAACGAGGACAGGGCAAAAACGTATATATATAAAATAATAATACATAAACTGGAACTCTGAATTAAAGAATATTCACCGTGCTGCTTCCAAATGCCTTATATAGCAAATACACTGAAAAATAGGAGTACTCGTAGTTTTTACCATCCTACGAATCCCTTATTTCAATTCGGGAAGCATTGAATTTGGGATCTTGAGAAAAGCCCCACTGGGGAAGAAATGTTGTTTTTATATAATATTTCATGAATTTAAATAAATGATTTATTGGATTGTAAAGACTACGAGTGCTCCTATTTTTCAGTGTGTTTAGTACTCAGGAACACAGAGCCTGCAATCCTCTAATTCCTAATGTTCAAAGAGCCCCCCAAGTTAGCATTCTCACTTCATTCACCTTGATGATCACTTCAAAATAGATTCAACTTATAGGCGCAAATGGAGGAAAGATTCTTCCCAAATAAAAACATTAGCAGAAAAATAGAATCCCTTGGGGACCACATTTTTTTAATTAAGTGCCAAAAAAAGGGCCAGTTGAAACATAGCTTGCAACAATATTAACAGAATTCTCCCACACTCATAAAAATGTAAGTTGTCCCCTGTATCCGCGTTCCTTCCTCGCTGTGCTGCAGTATGAGGAAAGTTTAGCTGGGCCTGGGTGGCTAAAGATAAGACAATCGCAGTATATCACTGGATTGATCGAAATAGAACATACTCATACTACAGCACTGAAAGCTCCTGCCGCTGCTTGGCACGTCACTGTTTTGAACAGAATTGATATTTGACAATCCAGTTCTGAGCTGTCAAAGTCATGTTTGCCAGGGGTGTAAAAAAAAAGGAATTTAAGGACCTTTTTATTAAATGTATGCTATTATACACCTTTTCTATTCTAACTTAAATACTGAAATGCTATTTATCCCCTTCATGACAGAGTCAATAGTGCACGTTCTGATCAAAACAAAACGTAAACAAAAACTGGAATTTGCGCTATATGTCTGTTCAACCGTAATTCACCGCTGTCACATTAAGTGCAACCACACTTATTATATATCATTTTGTTCAGGAAAAACAGGGCTTTAATTTATCATTAACTATTCATATATGGAACATAATTTATTATGAATAACATTTTTTAATTTTAAAAAATGTGAGAAAAGATTTTTTTTTTAATTTATATTTCTGTCTGACATTTTAGCTGTGAATATCATAATACTGTTAGGTTTTACTGCAAAAAAATGCACATATTTGTAATCAGCGATGTCTCACGAGTACAACAGTACCCCCCATTAATAGGTTTTATGGTGTTTTGGAAAGTTAGAGGGTCAAATATAGAACGTTCCATTTTCAAATTGAAATTTGCCAGATTAGTAATGTTACCTTTGAGACGGTGTGATAGCCCAGGAATGAGAATTACCCCCATAATGGCATACCATTTGAAAAAGTAGACAACCCAAGGTATTGAAAGTGGGGTATGTTTAGTCTTTTTTAGTAGCCACTTAGTCACAAACACTGGCAAGAGGGGTGGATAGGCAAGAGAGACATTTGGGGGAGGGATATGTGATGGAGACAAAAACAGGGTAGGGGGGAGATGTGAATTGCATAAATGAGAGTAGGAAAAAGCTCTGAAGTCCAAAAAAACTAAATACATTCTCAATAATAAACTACCTCCCCTACCAGGTGGTTCCCAAATTTCTTTTACACACACAATCCACAAAAAGTAATCATGACATTCACACACAGGAGCTGACATTCACACATAAATACATACAGTTTATTCATATAACTACTTCCCAACACTGACACTCAAAGCAAACACTTCATGCACACACTGACTGCATAAAAATGTATAAAACCTCCACTCTATTCACACACACTTGTACTACTCACTAGTCGCACCATCCATGCATTCACAAGTATTACTCACTAGAAGAGATCTGCATTCGAATCTTCAGACAGGTCAAACATATAAACACATGTGGACAACTGCATTCATAAACTCTGATACTATATACAAATATAGTAATGCAGTTACACATTTTGTCAAAAACCTCCATGCATTTACACTTCTTCCAAAACATTCAGACTCATTTACGTTCGCTTTTTTTGACACTACATACAAATGCATTGATTCTATAAACATGCTAACGCAAATAATTATATACATGCACTCACAGTATAGACACATACAATTTCACACAAAACTGGGGGTTATGGAAAGCAATGTTTTTTAATTTACTATAGTTTAAAAAAAAATCTCTTAGTGATACATAATATCATGATAGTAGTATATGTGATATATAGTGTAGTGTGCATTTTTTACCTCTACAAAACCATTTTTTATGCATACTATTTCGGTAATGGTTGGTATCAGATATTAGTAAATAACTCTCCGTTTATTACATCCATGGTTCAACAGCTTACAAAAAACTGTACAACCCACTGGACACCATGTAAAAACTACAAAGAAAACACATCACAAAGTATGACAATAACCCTAATTTCATGAAATATAGAAGAATGTTCAAATAAGACATTAGAGGGTTTATGCATTCGTGGTGACATCCATCCCCCAGGCTAATGTGTCTACCGCTGTGCTCACCTTACCACTTGGTAAAGTTGCTACCGAGCGGGTTGTCATTCCCATTTTATGAACATATGCACTCCAGGACTGATCTTGCTTTGGCATCAGTAGTTCCCAGTTGTGAGTAAAGTGATGGTCAATATCAGAAGATGTGGGGAAGGTGTCAGGAGGAAGCATGGGAGGTAGGGGAAAAGTGAAAAAAGGAGGAGGGAAAGCGGGGGGTGGGGAGGTAAGGGAGTGATCCCCCTGACTCCCGGTGCACCCCCAGATCCCTAAGCCACCTGTACTCTGTCGGCATGTGATGCGTTACCCACTCTCCCGCCATCATCACACCATCTCCTGATGGTGAAGGGGTTAGGTGTAGTATGGCTAGTTCCATGGTTAAT